CAGCCAAGGCAAGACACACACACACACACTCACACGGCATTACACACACACGGAATGGACAAGGTTCCCTGTGGGTACATGCCAGAAAGGCGCACCCACACGTCCACACGTGGAGCATGCATAAGAAAGCTTTCCTGGTGGAACCACAAGAAAGTGTCAGCAGTGTTTCCTCTGGGAGAGGAGTGGCTCCCGCTCCTTCGGTGCTGAGTGTTTAAGACGTTCTCTCAGCAGCACTGCCGCTGCCTCCTGGAGGTGAGCCGCTGCCACCCACCAAAGTCTTCCAAACTGCGTCCGGCTGTATGCAAGTGCCTTCCAGCTGTTCTGTCTACCTAGACCACCGGGACCACGCGCTGCACTGCTTGTCCTGTCCCTTCAGTCGCTTTGCAGCGAACTCCCTGTTCTCTTGAGCCTACGGCACAGGGGACCCGGCATTGCCTTGCAGCGTCCCTGGGTCGGGGTTGGTTCATGCGCTGCCTTGTGCAGTGCGTGGCTCAGTTCTCATTCTACACGGCTGTGAACTGGAAACAGATCCAGGGTCAGGATTGGAATCAAGTTAGAGGTGTTCCCAGGAGCACGATGGGTGGTGGGGTGATGTCATCTGGTAGGCAGGGGTTGCCATAGCATCAGGTGCCTTCGGTGTGTCCCTCTGTTGTACAGTCAGACCTCCCTGGCAGCCTGAGAGAGCGCTGGTGATGGTACTTTGCTACACTTCTCATCTTGTGCCTTGGGCCTTCCCCCGTGGGTTGATATCTTTTTTCTCTTTTCATTCTACCTCGGGCAATCTGAACTTACTTCTCGTAATTTGCCTCATTAAACTAAAAGCAGCCTTTCCTGCTCCTCCCTATGAAGTGGCAGTGTGGCCCGGAGCTTCTCCCAGGGGAGCGGATGTGAAGCCTCTGCTCAGGCCCAGCCCGAGGGCGGGGTGTCCTCAGCACCCTCGGTACTGGCACAGGAAATGGCTGTGCAGCTGCCGGAAGGTGCTGCCCGTGGGGACAGACTGCCTGTGGGGACAGACTGCGCGGGCACTTGGCTGCCGTGTAGTCATGAAGAAGGAGCTTGGCTGGACTGGGAACGGTCGCTGGAGGCAGATGCTGGCCCTGGGCTCGGAGTGGGCTCCCAGTCCCTCCCCCAAAGGACCACAGCAGCAGAAAGAGGAGGTGGAGACCACAGCCTAGGTTCCCATGCAGGCCTGGGCCACCACAGCTACCATTTATGGATCCACGATGTGATAGGAGTGCCCAGCGGAGCTCCATCCCAGGTCTGTGGTTATGGGTGGGACAGAGCGCAGAGCCGGGCCAGGTACATCCTCCCGGGAGAGCCCGCCGTGTCAGAGGCACTGCTGCCCTCCCACAAGCCCCACTGGGCTCCGTTTCACAGAGGAAGGAGTCCAGAGAGGTCGGGCCGTGTGCGGTGGTCTCACTGCTAGTGAATGGTGGTGACAGGATTCGAATCCTGGTCACCTGAGTGGTGGCAGCAGTGCTTGAGCCCAGTGCGGTCTTATTGGGCCCCTGAGGCCTGGTGAAATGTCTTGTGTGCCTGTGTGTCCAGCTTCCACTGGGGACACATGGACTTGAGCCCCTCAGCCTGCAGGAGGCCCACATGGCGGAGAACTTTGAGTCATGCTGTCACCTCAAAGAGCCCCTTGACAGTCAAGTCACGTCCCCCTGTGTGTGTTCCCGTCCATCAGCATGTGTGATTGTAGAAGCTGCAATCTTTCTAGGAAAATTGCAAAACCTAGCGAAGCAAAGCAGCAGCTTTCTGTTTTTCTCTTACTTTGACTGCTTTGCCTTCTTTCTTCAGAATGACCTCATCCTGACCTGCTGAAGCATCTGTGAGGGCATCTTCCGGTCTCTGTTTGGGGAGCATGTTGGGGCACAAGGGCCTGCCCGCAGCACAAGGGCCCACAGGCCCCGGGGGGGAGGCGGGAGGCCGGAGGTCCTGGCCTGCTGCGCTGGGGCCTCCGCGCCTGTGCTTCAGGCGAGTGTGGGCTTTCCCAGCTCTCAGGCCCACCTCTCCCGCGGGCTCTCCTAGGCAGGCACCGGAAGGGGAAGGACAGAGTGGGGCCTGTGCTTATACCTCTGGCTTTGAGCTCTTCCCGTGGGATCGCAGCGGCAGGACAGGGCGGTGGTGTGCTCTCGCTCCTGCCGTGATTCACTAACTGGGAGGCACGGGCTGCTCTCCTTCCATAGGCGCAGGCTGAGCGAGCACTTGCTCACCCGAGGGCGGGCAGTTCTCAGCACCTGTCTTTCCCACTGGTCCCTCCCTGTGAGTTGTGGACCTTCAGAGCCTCAGAGTAGGCCCAGCCACACTCAGGTAGTCAGAGGGTCCATTCAGGCCATCAAACAACCATGTCTGTGTTCACCGTCATGTGCACGGCACAGAGGCCCTTTGTGGGGCCGAGATGCTGTCACTAATGCAGAAACATCTCTGTCAGGGTCCTCCTCACAGCCGAGACCTCTGTGTGAGCTCAGCTGATGCTCAGGGCTGGTGGCTGTGCATTTGGCCACCTGCGGAACTGAGAGCTTGTGCCTCATTCATAAAACCACAGCATTTAGGGGAATACCCTTTGTCTCTCGTTTCCACATTGATGTGGGAAGCTGTTTCCGGTGGCGGCTGTGCATCGCTCTAACAGCAGGTGCATTTGCGTGTGAAGCCAGCCGGGCTCGCAGATGTGCGGAAAGGGCCGGGCACAGGGAGGCTCATTGCTGCGGGAGGTCAGTGTTCGGAGCCCTGGCCATTCATCCCAGCTGCGCGGGCCTGGGCGCCGCTGCCAAGGCCGCTTCCCCTGCCAAGACGGGGCTGTGCGCTGAGCTTTTTGGGATGTGAGGTAGGATATGAGGTCTTCTCTTTTCACTCGTCATTTCCATGTGGTAGTAAATGCAGGGTGTCAGGTGCACTGTGTTGGTTTCAAATTGAGTGTTTTGTGAAGCAAGCTGAGAGACGCTTTATCAGGAAAGAGGCTGGGAGCGGGCAGTCTGAATGGCTGGTGGTCTGGACAGAAGAGCTGCATTCAGTCCAGTAGAGTCCCCCAGACCTGTCTCCCAGACGCCTCCGGAACTGTCCCCCACAGGCGCCCCCCGAAGCATCTGGCTCTGTGTCCACCATTTGGATGGAAACGGCTCTGCTTCCAGAGCACAGTAAAGCCCCGACGCAAGTACTGGGATGGGCTAAGCGATGTTTGAGAGCAAAATATGTACTTTTCTTTGGTATGTTACTAAGAAATCAAATTACTAAGATGGACTTGACATTTGGATGCCATCTAGCTTTATTTCTAAAGAAATGCTTTGTGAAAACTGTGGTGATGCACTAGGTGGGGATTTGACTTGATTTTATCTAGAAGAATATCTTTTTTTATAGTGGCAGCATTTTTTTGGATGGTTCTTCGGTTGATGATAAGTCATAGCAAACACCACTGAATTGTTCTGAGTGAAATCTTGCCGAAGTATGGTTTATGTGTTGTTGTTTTGTTGTTGTTGTTTATGTGTTATGTGTTGTTGTGACAAAGCAATGCCGCTTAGAGTCTCCGAGCCTGCACTACGCCAGCCTGTGCCCGGAGCAGCCCCGGCCTCACCTGGTTCTGAGGATTCCTCCCCGACCCCAGTGTACCCAGCCCTCTTCTCCTGTCGAGTGCACTACGGCCAGAACCCAGCCATCTAGAAACCTCATCTGTCAGAAATCATCCCCCGCTCTTACTTTCTCCCAGAGGCAGGTCCTAAGCGCTGAGTTAAAATTGGAGAGTTAGGCAACAGCAGGGTTTTGGTGAGTCCTGATGATTGGGTTTGTTAGAGTGGACACAAGGAATGCAGGAACAAACTAATACACAGTTAAAGCATTTTCAAGCAGTTACCATCAGCCATGAAGTGAGTTCTCTACCTCTGTCTGTCCATCCTGTGCGCGCAGCATCTGTCCGCTCAGTGGCTGTGTATTTGCCAGCTGCTCTGTCAACCTTGTTAGTGGATGTAATAGTGAGGAGGCTGGCCTGGGGCTTCCCCAAGAAGTGTGTCTTCTGGCATCCACCTTCCAAAGTGCCGGAGGGGGTGGTGCCCAGCCCCAGCGGGAGGGCCTCCCTGGACTCCCTGGCACCAGGAGCTGAGCTCTGAGACCAGGGGGAGAGTGTGTGTGTGTGTGGGGGGGGGTGCGGGGGGGGGGGGGGGCGCTGAGGAACCGCATGCACAAAGGCCCAGAGGGAGGACAGGTGCAGAACCGTCTATGGCAGGGGTTCCAGTCCTCTCTCAGATGGCAGACCTCCCTGGAGAATTTCAGAGAAGTGTGGGTCCATCCTGGGGGGAGGGCAGAGATGGCCACACACTTAACACATGCTCCCAGAGCTTTATATCCAATTTCTGGAGGCACTGAGACGCCCTGACGCACAGACACTGTGATAGGCTGAGAGCCCAGCATGGCTCATTGACAGAGAGACGAGCCTCTCTTACGCTTCTTTCCCTGGCTGTGCCACACCAGCCAGGAGCTGTCCCATCCCTTCAGGAAAAGCTGTCTTTCTAGGAGCTGCTCCCAGGAGTTTAAAGGAGCATATGCTTGTGGTGTTGTTTTTCAAGTCAGTGTACAGTTTCACTTAACAACCCAACAGTCTTCAGGGTTACTGCAGAAACGTTTTGCTGTCATCGCCCAGGACCCTTAAAGCCGTGAGTGCACAGGGAGATGCTCATGCTATGATGCATAGTGCCCTGCACGTGTTTGATGCTCTCTGATGCAGGTTTTCAGGAGCCATTCTGTCCGTCTTCTACAAAACGAGCTCCACTCTGGAGCAGGGCCGCTCCTTGGGGGCCGAGGGCTGGGCGTGTGCCTGAAGCATCTTCTCTCGGTTGTGGCAGTTGTGAAACCACATTTGACATTACTTGATTTAAACCTTGAAATGTTCGCAAACCTTTCAATCCCCATATTGCTGGGGCATTGCCAGGCCTGTGGGTGTGCGGTGGGAGCGAGCTGTGATTTGCCTGGGTACCTACTGAGCATGAACCTGTGCTTTACCTTTCCCACAGCCACTTCCCCTCGGGTGTCCTCCGAGCTGGAGCAGGCCCGGCCCCAGACTAGCGGAGAAGAGGAACTGCAGCTGCAGCTGGCGCTTGCCATGAGCAGAGAAGTAGCTGAGCAGGTTGTGCCCAAGCCCACTGTGCGCTGCCCTGTGCGGGGGGGCAGGGACCCCTGGGAGGACAGACGCCTGCCCTGCCCCACACTCCGCAGATGACTTGTGTTGCCACCTGTGTGTTCTGTCACCTCCTGCCCCCAGTCAGGGCGGGGTCCTACACAAAGTACATTTAGGAAAGGTCTTCGGGGAAGGAAGGCTTTGCCAAGGGACAAACCAGTCAAAAGTGCTTCCCAGAAACCCTTTTGCCAACCTGGCCAAGCCTCACGGGCTCGCTCTGCGCAAGCCGAGTGTCCACGGCTTCCCCGGCTGGTGTGTGGGCTCCCCGCGGGCTCGGCCCCGGGCAGTCTGTGAGGCCCAGCAGCATCTGGACAGGGAGGTGCTCAGACAGGTAGATGGAGTCCAGGCGCGTTCTCTGGGCCGTTTTAGTTCATAGCATGCCTGTGATTTGTTACATTTATAATAAATGTAACAGGTCTATTTACTAATGTTTAATCATTATGTAATCATTTAATCATTAGGATGACCCAGTCTTTTGCATATGGTGGCTATAATGAATCATTTTTATTAAAAAGCGTAGAAAAGAAATAGTCATTTCTGGAGGAATGCACAGTGGAGGGGAACAATATGTGATTTTCCTCTTGAATTCCTTTCTGGGTTGTCGGATTTTCTACTTTTATAAACTGACCTATTGCTGCTATATTTAGAATTATAGAGCCATTTTCATTTTTATAAGAAACATTTGAGAATAGGTATCTTGTGGTGCCAATTTGTGGTGCCTGTGCCCCAGTCTCCTGGGACCCCAAGGCGGGTGTGGGGTGAGCAGGGAGTCACAGGAGAGTCTGTGTCCTGCAGGTTGTTTCCCAGTCCTCTTTTGAAATAGCACAGGATACAGTCTTGCGTTTCCTGGTTCTGGCCCGGTTGCTTTGTTCTGTAGAGTGATGTCATTGCAGTTACCCCAGCTTCAAGTGCATTGTCCTCTCCAGGAAGAGCGCCTCCGGCGCGGCGATGACCTCAGGCTGCAGATGGCGCTGGAGGAGAGCCGGAGAGACACCGGCAGAGTCCCGAAGAAGCCGGAGGTGAGTGCCTCGCCCGCCCGCCCGCCCGAGGGGAGCGCGGGGACTGCCCCGCAGCAGCTGCTGAAGGGCCAGCCCACCCACAGTGCCCTGCGCGCCCTGTGGAGCGCTCCCACGGCGGCTTCTCTTCCTCCTGCAGGTAGTCCTGAGGCCTGGAACGAGCAAGAGCGAGGTGAGGATGGAATTGACAGTATGTTTGGCCTCCTGAGACCACCCGAGAGAAATGGGCATGGCCAAGGGGATAGTTGCCTAGGTTCCCATTCCCCGGGCTGGTCTGTATGTACCTCAGTCCCCCCGGTGACACAGCAGGGAGTAGAGCCCACCTCATGCAGATGGGGGCCGTTGGTTCCGTAGGCTTAATGTCAGGTGCTTTGGAACCATCTCCTGGCACAGGGCCAGCCCTCGTAGTGCAGGTCTTCCTTGCTGCCGTCATTTCTATGCCAGGCTTCCTGCTCCGTACTTCAAGGTGACCAGGACATGGCTCTGCTCCCAACAAGCTCCTCATCCAGCCAGGATTCAGCCCCTCCAACCACAGGGCCAGGGGCTCAGTGGCCAAGCATCCTGGCAGCTAGGGAGCAAGGCGGCGGGTGTGTGCTCTGGAAGGAGGAGGACGCCTGGGTCATGCCGGAAAGCCCTCGCCTATCTGAAAGTGGGCATATCGTTGGCACAGAGTAAAGAGCTCCGTGTGGCTGTGGTAATGCCGGGGCCAAAGGGACATGGGCAGGGCAGGGCATGGGGCTGCTCAATGCCAAGGCTTCATGCCCCTCAAGAGGGACTCTGCTCTAGTAAGAAGCACGGGCAGTGTTTTTGCTGACAGGTGGATGTTTGCAAAGTAAAACTTCTTCTCCTTTTCTCAAAAGCCCAGCTCCTACCCACAGCAGACCACTCTGTTGGATTTAATGGACGCCCTCCCCAGCTCAGGCCCTGCTGCCCAGCAAGCTGAGCCCTGGGGCCCGTCAGCCTCAGCTAGCCAGACCAACCCCTGGAGCGGGCCCGCAGCCCCCGCCAGCACTTCGAGTCCTTGGCCATGCGGTAAGGATCCCCTCTCCCTCCTGCATGCTTGCTGAATGGGTGAGGGCAGCAGGGCAGAGCCGTTGCTCTCGCTTATCTGGCAGAGGTGCGGTGAGTCTGGCCCCTGGTGGGGACCCAGGCTGCTGCTCTCCTGAGGACTTTCCTTCTGCTTTGAATGCTTTCTGCTTTGGTGGAGGGAAAGTAGCCTTCCTCTCTGTTTCCCACATGCATCAGAAATGGCTTGTCCCACCACTGGAACACGTCAGTGCTTTCAGCCTCAGAATTGCACTCAGCAGCCCAGGTTAACAAACTGAAATACACAGCATGAAATGTGGAAATCAAGTGGCTATGATGTACTTACATGACTGCTAATGAAAGGGGATACATTTGCTGTAATTGTTCTTACTAGTTAATACAATAGTAAATCAGTTTACTAGGCGGCATGAACACTGTGAGGTTGTGTTTAATGCCAAATGTAAGAGAACGTGCAGGAAGAGCTCTGAAACCGAGTGCAGCGTGCTGGGTTTGACGTGGGTGGAGATCCTGGCACGCGGGTTTGCGGGTCGCTGGGCACACGCTTGACCGGCAGGCGATGGCTTCCCAGCCCCCCTGCACTCTGGACGGCAGCAGCACCTCACTCTGGGTGCCTGGGCCCCGCAGGCCATTCTGCCTAGGAACTTGGAATTGTGTATTTTGTGGCAACTTGCCTATACCTGTTGGGATCTGTTTCCCCAACTAGAACCATCTTTGTACTCAGCTGGGATTCCTGGGTGCTTGCTGAAGTGTACCAAATGCCAGGCTCCATCCTGTCATGCAGGGGCCCAGACACAACCAAGGTTCCGGTCAGGTGTTGGCTGGGCCTTGGTGGCAGTGGAGAGCTCAGGCAGTGAGGGCAGGGCTGAGCTCAGAGGTGGGGCTTATCAGGAATTGGGGTGGGGTGAGGCAGGCCTGTTGGAAGAATCTTCAAGGGAGAGCAGGAGTGGCCAGGCCAGGAAGAGGCCGAGTGTTCCCAGCAGAAGGCTCGCTGTGCGGGGCAGGAGGGCATGCAGTGGTGTAGCTGGTGCAGGCATGGGGTCCTTCCTGGTGTATGTGGGGCAGCCGGGGGTTGAGGTGGGGGTGCGGGGAATGAGGGCTGGAAAGCTGGGATGGTGGCTTCCTGATTACTCCGGGCCTGGCAGCTTTGCCAAGTACTTGGCCGTGTCCAGAAGACAGTGTTGGCACCAGGTGTCCTTGGGTGATGTTGGCTTCAGGGACTTAGACAGGGCCCCTCCCTCCCTGGCAGGAGCCCTCGGGGCCTGGGGACAAACCCTAGGCCAAACGGTGCACAGTTCCTGCCCCCTGACGGCCAGCACCACGGCTGCCGGGAGCTTGGTTTGTGTGGCCCATGGCCGTGTGGGGTGCCCAGCCTGTGGTGGACTGTCTTCCTGAGTGCACGTGGGCAGCGAGGCGGGACTGCGGAGGTGCCACGTGGCACTGCCTGTGGGGACAGAGTGGTGGTGGCCACCCTAAGTTATGGACAAGAACATTCTTCAAGGAAGACTGTCAGTCCCTTTCAGAACGGGAACTGAGCATTGAACAAATGGGCGGTCTTCTCCCGAGGAGCCTGGGGGAGAGAGGCAGCTGAATGATGCTGAGGCAGCGGCTGATTCTGGGGCAGGGCTTGGAGACCGGGTGGTTGGACGGAGGCAGCTTTCCCTTCTACCCTGTTTCTACTGTTTGTGTCACCTGCTTGGAAGCGGTAGAATACACATCTTGTAAATGAACAAGTTTGCACAGCCCTTCCTTTGGCTGGTGGACAGGGCCGTGTGCTGGAGCTGAAGGATTGAGCCAGGAAAGTGACCCTCACGGGGAACTGGGGAGTCTCCTGTTTGGGGGGACCATCTCTGGCAGTTGGGGTTCTCACACTGCAGGAGCATAGCCAGGCTGACAGAGGTGGGTGCAGTTCGGGAAGGGCAGCTGGTGCCCAGAGGCAGATGTTTGCTCTTCCAGTTCACTTTTAATCAAGATAGAACTCATATAACGTAAGATTCACTATTTTAACCATTGAGTGGCAGTTCCGCGGTTCTTAGCCACTCATCAGCATTGATTGCAGCGCGTTTCTGTCAGTCCGTCACTTTCAGCAGTCCCTCTCGCTTACCCCTCCCCCAACCATCTCTGGATTTGCCCATTCTGGACATTTCTTATGTGTAATGGGATCACACATGTGGCTCTTGTGACTGGTTTCTTTCACTTCAAGTGTTTTCAAAGTTCACCCACATACTAGCATGTATCCCTACTGCATTCCTTTTTGTGGCTGAATGATACCCCATTTATAGATAATACCACATTTTGTTTAGCCATTTAGCAGTAGATGGATATTTGGGTCACTTCCACTTTGGGGCTGTTATGAATCTAATTTTTAAAAGAAACCATTGACCAAGTCTAGTCGAATAAGGCTGTCTCCTGGCATAGGTACAGCTGATCCTCCCACCCTACCAACTCAGGGAAGCAGCGAAAATGCCGAGACAAGGAAACAGATCACAAACGAAAGAAATGGAGGACAAAAAGCGACTGAATATAGAGTTCAAAACGACGCTTATAAGGTTTTTCAAGAATCTCCTAGAAAAGGCCGATAAAATAAACGAGACCTATGAAGATATGAAAAGGGATCAACTAGAAATAATAAAGGATCAACTAGAAATAATAAGGGATCAATAAGAAATAAAGAATACATTCTCTGAAATAAAAAATATTATACAGAGTCCTAAAAACAGAATGGAAGATCGCAAGAATCAAGTCAAAGACTTGGAACACAAAGAGCTAGAGGACACTCCTCCACAGAAGCAAGAAGACAAGAGAATCCAGAAAGCTGAAGATAGTGTAAGAAACCTCTGGGACAACTTCAAGCGAACCAACATCAGAATTATGGGCGTCCCAGAAGATGACAGAGAGCAAGATACCAAAACAGATTGGAAGAAATAGTGACAGAAAACTTCCCCCACCTGGTGAAAGAATTAGACTTACAAGTCCAGGAAGCGCACAGAACCCCAAACAAAAGGAATCCAAAGAGGACCACACCAAGACACATCATAATTAAAATGCCAAGAGCAAAAGACAAAGAGAGAATATTAAAAGCAGCAAGAGAAAAGCAGGTAGTTACTTATAAAGGAGCACCCATATGATTGTCAGCTGATTTCTCAACAGAAACCATGCAGGCCAGACGGGAGTGGCAAGAAATATTCAAGGTGATGAATAGTAAGAACCTACAGCCAAAAATACTCTACCCAGCAAAGCTATCACTCAGAATCGAAGGCCAGATAAAGAGCTTCACCAATAAAAAAAAGCTAAAGGAGTTCATCACCGCCAAACCAGAATTATATGAATTGCTGAAGGGGGTTCTTTAGGAAGAGGAAGAAAATAAAGATAAAAATTATGAACATATATGTAACTATCAACAAGTGAATCTAAAAACCAAGGGAATTAAAAAACCTGATGAACAATATTAACTGGTGGATATAATAGAATCAGAGGTATGGAAGGGGAGTGGACTGACAATTCTCAGGGAAAAGGGGAGTGGGGGGTGCGGGAAGAGACTGAACATAAACTGTGCACTTACGGATGAGGACAGTGGGGGGTGGGGAAAGGGTGGGTGGGATGGGAATCTGGTGGAGGGGAAAAAATGAGGAGCTTTTGTAATAATATGAATAATAAAGATTTATTTTTTTTAAAAAAAAAAAGATGAGATCATCAACGTGGAAAAAACAGAAACTATTGGAACCTGCATTTTTGAAATATATTAATATTTAAATGTTGACAATGTTTGGGGCTAATCAAAATATATCTGCAGGCACCCACAGGTGGTTCACGGACTGCCATCTGTCTCCTGCTTCCTGGCCTCAGGCCTCTCTCTGGTTCTGACACATTTGGCATTTTCCCAGGGACTTGGGGAGAGAGCGCGTTAGAGGCCGGCCCTGCTCTGGTCCTCGGTGCCCAGCTTGTCACGTGGTCCTAGGCTGCTGCCAGGCCTTCGGGGGCAGGGCCTGGAGGGCATCTCCGCCCCCAGCTCGGCCGTGGCTGGGGAAATGCTGCTGCTCTGCCTCCTCTTTGCTCTGGGCACTGAGGTTTTGCTGTGGTTGGGTCATAGCGTATGTACAATTGTGTGTGTGTGTGTGTGTGTGTGTACATGTATAATACATATATGTATGGGGTGGGAGAGAGATGGAGAGAGAGAGATTGAGGTTTCCATTTGTACCACATGATGAGCATTTCCAGGCATGTGAACACCTACACAGCACGGCTCCAGCGGACCGTGCGGACCTGACCCCGTGGACGGGGTGCTCTGCCCTCTCAGCACTCCGTTCACATGGCGCTGCGGGAGAGGCTGATGCCAGCTGCCGAGTTCCCCTGAGCATGGGAGCAGCCCCCTGACCTTAGTCTCCCAAGACACAGCCACAGGCTCACGGATTAGTCTCAGTGAAGTCTGCTTGTGTGTTTTCAGGGCCGCCCCACTGCCCTGGACATCCTCACAAATTAGGAAGATTAGAGGGTCTTTTTCAGACACTGTTAGTTGCATCCTCTGGATGAAAGAAACACTGTTTTGAAAGCCTCTGTTTGTAGCCAGCCCTGCCATTCCCATTGCTTCCCCAGTAGCGTGGGGCAGCTTGGCCTTGGAGGAAATCCTGAGGACAGAGGAGGAAGCTAGAGCCTGCCAGGTCCGCGGGCACTTCCCCCACCTCCCACACAAAGCAGCCTGCCTGGCAGGAGGCGGGCGCACGCCTGTGACTTGGGCCCTGCTGGCTCCTGCCAGTGGCAGGTGGTGCTGCTGGCTTCTCGGTGATGCCCTCCGCCCTCCGAGGGGGCTTAGCTCTTCCTGTGACTTCCCCCTGGCGCACATGAATATTCATGTGCGGGGCTGAGGCTGTGAAAGGGCCCTCAGAGAAGCCGGCCGGACGCTGCTTGATCTTTCCGCCCTTGGTCCATCTCCCTTTCCTGCACTCACGGACTTGCCCAGCATTTACTTGTTGGGGGTGAGCACATGGAGGGCAGAGCACACAGCCGCCTCACTGCGAATCCCTGTGCCTCCAGGAGGAAGGCCGGCTGTCAGCAAGCCCTCCCGGGGACTGTGCCCCGCTGCCCGCTCTCAGCCCAGGTTGTGGAGGGCGGTGGGAACATGGTCGGAGCCAGGTTAGCTGAGGAGTGTGCGGTGCCTCCCGCAGGCACCTGTGTCTTCCCTCAGAGGAGGGCCTGGCCTGGGCCTGCTGGGTGCTCTCAGGTGCTCAGGAAGCGTGAGGAGACTCCACGAACCACCTGTCTGGGAGGCAAGGCTGGACCCATAGCTGTCCCTCCATTCCGGCCTGTATGTCTGTGCTGTGGGCCTCATGTCCAAGGAGGGCGTGACCCAAAGCGTGAGTGCTCCCGGAGCTCAGTGTTCTCTGCATCCTGGCTCCCATTCCAGTCACCGGCAGCTTCTAAAAACCCAAGTGCCCTGTGTTCCCAGCACCGGAGTCAGGCATCTACCTGTAACGCTGGAGGTGTCGCTGACCTCAGTATTCAAAGCTCCCTCTCTGGAGGGGGGATGGAGGCAGCATGCGGGCCTGTGGTTGCGTTCAGCGGTTCCCATCCGTCCCCAGGAGTTTCTGAGCTCCTGGGTGTCAGGCTCAGGGAAGCAGATGGCAGAGCAGAGCAGCTGGGAACTCAGCTGTAGCTGGGGAGACAGGCAGACTCTCCCAGGAGCCAGGCAGGGGTGCATAGTCCTGTGAGGGCTCTGGCCTGGGTGTAGACAGGAAAGTAAGTGTGCCCTGTGGCAGACAGGATGGCGTGGAGGCAGTAGGGTAGAAACCGTGCCTTCCCAGCAGGTCCCATGTGTGCACACATACATGTACTCATACATGCACACAATACACACACGTACACACATACACGGAATGAGCTGGGATGCAGACTGGTCTGGACGCTGGGTTGTAAGCAGTTCAGCAGGATTCAGTGCTCAGATGATCACAGGACTCCGGTCCCCGCTCCCTACAGCCTCAGAGCTGGAGGTCCTGCTGTCTCAGGTGCCCGCCTCCTGTGCCAGGTCATAGCCCGGGGCCGGGGAGGGTGTCTCTGTGCTCTGTACTCTCCCAGGTTTGCATGAGGTTGGGGCTGGGGGCTTTGCAGGGCTGTAGCTGGTGAAAAGCCGCCCCTGCTGCCAGGGCAGGTCAGCCCTCAGAGGGACTGGGAGTGGGCGGAGTCCTCCTGAGGAGAGTGGGCCAGCCCTCCAGGAGGGGATGGTGCTGGAGAGGACGAGAGTGCCTCCTGAGGGAGGGCAAGGAGGAAGGAGAGCAACTGTCTGCAGGGGGGTGCGGGCCACGTGGGGACCCTCTGACCGAGCTTGTTCCGTTTCTACTGCCGCGGGGAGCGAGGGGAGGGGGGGTGTCGATTCCTCTGGCTACCTCCAGGCCGGGTCCTCCCCGTGTCATTGTAGGGCCTCCGAAGACACTTCCCAGCTCTGAGTCTTGCTGTCCAGCTGCCACAACATCACTTCCTCCAGTCGAGATGGAAACCAAGGCCTGTGAGGCTGTGGTTCCAGCTGGGACCAGGTGCCGTGACCTGACAGGCCCTTGGTGCACCCGCTAGTGGCCTGGGAGAGGGGCTCAGTCCCGAGCTTGTCCTGCGGGGGCTGGGAGACCAGGAGGGGCTTCTGGAGGCTGGACTTGGGCAGTGGCAGGAGAAGCCCCAAGATCACACAGGAGTTGACGCCCGGCGTGAAGGACAGGCCCGCGTGCCCACGGGGTGGTGGGAATGAAGCTAGGAGGAGTATTTCCAGCTCGCAAGCTGGGAAGTAGTGAGAGCAGCGCGCTCCTGCCCTCCCTCAGCGGCTTGGGGCTGCGTGGTGAGTGCTCCGAGGAAGCGGGTGGAGAACCAAGAAGGGAAAGGAGGAGGGACTCGGGCCGGAGACGGCCGCTGCCGAGGATGCCCTTCGGTGTGTTTGGGAACCGAAGGGAGGTCAGTGTGCTGGAAGCGCGGAGGCAGAATGAAGATCTCTGGCACACATCTCGTGTGAGTTCCAGGAAAGTTAATATTTGACAAGATGTTGACACGGGCTTTTAAGGTGCTGCTTCTCAGCTCCGGGAAGCCTAGCGAATCATAAGCAGGACAAGAGAAACCCCCAGAAAACCAGAGTAAGAGGACACCTTAAATGAACCCAGAGGAATGGCAGCCAGATGACTGCTGGCCTCCGAGTGACAGCAGGGCCCGAGGACGGCGGGCGGAGCTCGCTGGGCGCTCCAGGAGCCTCTGTCACCTGGAATTCCATCCCAGCAACGCCGTCTATCCTCCAAGAAGTCTGTTCTGTGCAGGTTTCCTTCACCAGTGATGGCGACAGTAACCTTCCAAGTGACGGAGCGAAGAGAGCCCGCTGCCAGCACGTCTGAGGCAGTGTGGGGGCTGTTTGCCAGTGAGGGCAGAAAGCAGTGGGACAGGCGGGCATGGGGACCTCAGGATGGCAATCGTGTGGAGGGACCTCTTCATTTTATTTATTTATTTTTGAATCCTCACCAGAGGACATGCTACGGGGGAGAGAGAGAAACATCGTCAGTTGCCTCCTGCCCGCCCCCTGGAGAGCAAGCCCCAAACCCGGCCATGTGCTCTGACTGGGAATCTTACCCCTGAGCCACACTGGCCAGAGGTGGGAGAAGAGTGTTACAGAACGTAAGAAAACATGAGCAGCACGATTCCCGAGCCTGTGCACTTGAAGAATACACATTATCTTCAGTTACATCTTTGCCTAGCATATGAATCTTAACAAAAATTGATTATGGACTAGGCAAGGATGCTAGTTCCCACAAGTTTTAGAAAATAGGGATTACATAGGATGTATTTTCTGACCATAATACATTCAATTTAAAAGTCAGTAACAAACAGATGACTAGAAAAACTCCATACACTTGACATTTTAAAACATTTCTAAATCCTTGGGTCAAAGAAGAAAATATGAAAATCAGAAATATTTAGAACCAAATATAAATATTTTCATATCAGAATTGTGGGACAACTGGAGCAACAGTACAAGGGAAATTTACTGCTTAAGGTGTTTACGTTCATCCAGAAGAAAGGCACAAAGTTAATGAGGTGACATTAGGGGTACATATCTACATGTACCCAAATGTGGGTGTGCACATGTGTCTACACTTGCACAAATGTGTGTGCACATGTGTTTACATGTGCCTGAATGTGTGTATATAGGTACACATGTACCCAAATGGAGCCTCACGCAACAGGATTGACCCTTAGCTAGTTTGCTCAAGTGTTTTCTGTCCTGTCCTTCAAAACCCGAGGTGGTGGCCACGGGCGGGCCGTCGGTCGGTGTGACGGGGTTTCCGTGCACAGGCGCCCTCACCTCCTGCTGCTCTCTCTGGGCAGTTCCCTCCTTCAAAGGCGGAAACCACTCAAGCAGGTGGGACAGCGCTCCAGCAGAGCCTGTCCGGGGCCTGCCTTCGCGGGAGGCCTCTGGCCCCGAGGGCGGCAGGTTCCCGGCTGGTCCCTTCCGGGGACGGGGATGTGCCGGTGGCCTTGCCGGGCTCTCGCAGCCCTGGCTTCGGCTCTGTCTGGCGTTGCTGGTGTGGGATTGCTCCCTTTGGGCGTTCACGGGCACAGACCCTCGTGGGGCTACATGGCCCTCTCACCCCAACTGCCCAGAACTTTGTGAGGCCTCTCTGAGCCCTACCGGCCTTCCTCCAGGTGCCCAGCCAGCTTCCTCTGTGGACCCGTGGGGAGGGCCCCCCGGAACCAGCACACACTCCAGCTCCACGAGCTCGGATTCCTGGGCGGCCCCGCAGCAGCCTGCCCACGGCGCCGAGAGGGCAGCGGACGCCTGGACAGCAGCCTCTGCCGCCAAGCCTGCAGCCGCCTCTGGTGAGCCCGCCCTCCTTCCTCCTGGGTCCCGGGAGCCCCTCGCACCCGCCACTCTCCCTCCTGCCTCCAGGGCAGGGGGCCCTCAATTTGCCTTCAGGCTACCTCCTCCCGCAGCCTCGGTCCAGTTCCCCAGCCACACCCCCTGGTGCGCTCACAGGCTCTGCTCCGCACTCCTCCAGGGGGAGCCTGCGGGCCGTGCCAGCTCCACCGTGTCCGGGAAGGGGGGGGGGGGGTGCGCGCAGCTGAACACCCCCGCTCTGCACCGGAGGCCAGGTTCAGTTCCAGCCCCCGTGACCCGGGACCGAGCAGCCCCTTGCTCTCAGCGTCTCCCCAGAAGGCACGTGGGACATGGAGAGCCCCAGGTGCTCACAGTCCTGGCCTTGTGTTCACTCAGGGGCCTTCGATGTCTTCAGTAATGTGAATGGGACAATGAAAGATGACTTTTCCGAATTTGACAAGCTCCGAACTTCAAAAAACACAGGTATGTGAGGTGGGGTGGTGCCAGAAAGTGGGCTGCAGAAATAACAGCAGCGTTCAGAGCTGGCAACGCCACGCACTCCCTGCACTTCGATCTGGAGCCCTGGTGTCTGACCACAGGAAACCACACACACAGTGGACAGTCCTAGCTGCATTTCCTTTCTCCCTCTCCTTGTACTGGCCCGTGCTTCCTCTGGTCACCTCCCCCTAAGGCTCATGTCTGCCCTAGGACCCCTCCCCCCCCCCCAGCCCAGAGTGGGCTCCCCACCTTCAGCCATGGCTTCCGTTCACCTTCATCCCCCCAGCATCCCACACCCCAGGGGCCAGCTTTTCCAGGCTGCCCGCTCTGGGCATCCCCATGCCATCCCCAGCTTGCCCGTCAGACCCCACAGGAGGCCCAGCCCGTCCCCGGGTGCCCTGGCTGGGAGGGGCCGGGGAGGGGCAGAGAGGCCTGGACACACCCTCCGTACCCCTCGGCGTGGAGCCTCTCCATGTCAGGGCTGCGCCTGTCACACAGCAACTTCTCTCCTCTCTCTCCTCCTCAGCTTCTCCCTATTCTCCACTCCTCCCTCCACCTCTCTGCCTCCCCCTGCGGCAGCCATAGGCCTGGCTGGCCTGGTCTAAGGTATGAGCAGCTGGCCCCTCGGCTTGGGTCAGAGGCAACGCAGAATGTGCGCTTCGTGGGGTCGGTCTTTGCCGCGCGCAGAAAGCTGCAGGCCCCATGTGTCTGCTGCAGCCAGAGTGCAGCCTCGCTGTCCTCGGCCGCCTCCGTGAGGCAGCGGCTGGGGCTGGGGCCTCCGTGGGCTTGCAGAGCCCATCCCAGGCGTGTTCCCGTCGGAGGGGATTTGGAAAAGCTTATGGGGAGAAAATGAAAATCCCCTCCGATTCTTCCTGCCCTCAGCCACCGTTTCCTTCCAGTGCACCTCGGCTCTTAAATCCATTTCGGCTCACACTGTGCAGTGGAACCCCTCCCACCCCCTCTTATGGGATAGCAGATTGAGAACGCGTTCTCATGACTTTGAGTCAGAAAAGATTTCTCATCTCGGTGCCCCTCGGCCCGCCAGCGGAGACGCCCATCTGCTTGGGGAGACACTGGGTCGGCTGGTCTGCGGGGGATGATGCTGCGGGAGGGTGCTCCCGCGCCCACAGCGCATTGCTGCCCACCGGCTTCCTGGAATGGGCCCCGCGTGCGGGTGCCCGTCCTCAGCCCCTGCACCACAGCGCCACCTCGCATCCCGGCCCAGCAGCACATGCCCACGGCCTGTCTCCGCACACCCTCCAAGCAAAAGATAATTTGCTCCCTTCTAGCTATCAAGAAACCCATACTCATTGTAGACGTTTACTAGTAGAAAACGAAAACATTACAAAAACAAACTGCCCTGCCTCGTCGCCAGCCCAGAACAGCGTCTTCCGGAGCTCGAAGGACTGAGCTGTCTGCACTGTTTGTCCCGCCTCTCACTGGACGCAAGGAGTTGCTCTCCTCACCTGGGCCCTGTCCCTGCATGGGGGCTGGTGCCCGGGAGGCAGGCTCTGACCTGCCTGTCTCCAGCTCGGGGCATTGGAAACAACCCTGCAGTGAGCATCCCACCCGCAACCCCACGGGGAGCTGCGGGTCCGAGCACGTCCGCGTGGCTCGGGGCGTCCTGGCGGCTGCAGCGTGGGTGCGGGAGCCGCGGGACCTCCCTCCGGCTCACCGCGCTGTGCCTGTCCTTTCTTGCAGCCGAGGCGGTGGCCTCTCTGCCTTCCCAAAAAAGCGGAACTACAAGCCCCGACCCCTTCGAGTCTCAGCCCCTGACCATGACCGCGAGCAAGTCCAGCAGCGCCCGGAAGACCCCCGAGTCCTTCTTGGGCCCCAACGCGGCCCTGGTGAACCTGGACTCCCTGGTGACCAGGCCGGCCCCGCCGGCCCAGTCCCTCAACCCTTTCCTGGCACCAGGTAAGCGGCTTCCCAGCGCTCGCGGGCTGGCAGCTCCTCCCGAGAAGGGGCTGAGGGGGGTGAAACAGCAGAATCTGCCCCTGGCCTGTGCCCAGCTGGGGAGAGCCTAAAGCAGGCGCCCACCTGTGGTGCTGGGGGTGGGAGTGCAGTTTGCAATGTCACTGGGCCCTTAGCTGGGCAATCCTTGGGGACCCAGGGACCCTCACCACCTGCTGCTGGGTTCTGTCTTCCCTGGGGCTGGGAACTCCGCCCTCCCTCCCTCCATTCACTCCCCCTGCGGGGGCGCAGGGGGGGGGTGTGTCTGTGTAAAGACCTGCGCTGCCCCCACCCTCCAGCGCTCAGGCCCTCAGCACCCAGCTGCTGACACTCCTCATGCGGACGCCCTGCCCCCCTCCTCCCATGAAAGTCCCGTCTGTCCCTCAGCCCAGCCCAGACAACACTCCCGGGACTGCCTCCCTCCCCACAGAGTTCCCAGAGGGCCTTGGGCTTCCCGAGGGCAAGAGCTTGTCACGTTCAAGGAGTTCAGCCCCTGACCTGTCCCGTGGTGAAGGGATCTGAAGGCTGGACCTGCAGAGAAGGACCAGGACTTAGGGGCAGGGGTTGGGGGTCCTGGGCAGAAGTGGGGGGTGTGGGAGCCTTGTTCCTTCCACCCTGAGTCCCCCAGGAGGCGATTCCAGGGCCTCTTGCTCCCTGGAGCTAGATCAGAACCCAGCTTCCTGAGCAACATGAACTCTGTGCCTACCCCAGAAGGCCTGCCAGAGCCTGGGCGGCCGGAGTCCCCGGGCAGCTGTGGCACTGGCGTCTGCCAGGCGCTCAGGGAGGGCTTGCCGGGAAGAGCTGTGCTGTCTGCACACAGGCCTGTCTCCGAGGCCCACAGGGGCCTGGGCTGTTGTCATTGGTGGAGTCAGGCTCTAACCCACATGTGTCAGACACAAGGCCCGCGGGCCAAATCCGTCCCACCAGGCCTTGCAGTGTGGCCCGCACCGCGCTGTCATCACTGCACTCCGCTGCGTTTCCATCACAATGACAGTTTATGACTGTTCAGTAAACCATTTGGCCCGCAATTTAGGCTGGATTTTAGATTTTGGCCCCTTCTCTGATTGAGTTCGACACCCCTACTCTAACCCTTCTAAGCTGAGCCTCAAGTGAGTCCGTCCTGTGCTGGAGTCTCGTTTCGGGCGTCTCTCACGGGGGATCTCCCCTGTAGTCACGGCGGCTGATGCAGGGGCGTGGGGTGCCCTCCTGAGCAGGAGCCGGGCTGCCTACGCTTGGGGCAGAGGATCAGCAGATGTTTTACTAAAGGGGAAGAGGCTTTGTGTGTGAGACAAATTCCGGAAAGCCTGGGAGAGACAGCTGAATCAGTCTCTTGACTGCAGGACTTCTCAGCCTTCGGAGAAGGGCACAGCGTGGGGAAGGCCACTCTCAGGCCACGCACTGTGGCTCCCGCCTCCCTCCTGGCTGTTCTCCCTCCCGGCACCCGTTGTCACAGGGCAGCCCAGTGGTTGGCTGCTGAGGAGTCCTGGCCAGCCCGTGGCGGAGCTGGGCCTCCAGCCTGGCACTGCCTCGTTTAGGCTGTGACCTTGGACAAGTCGCTTGGCCTCTCCAGGTGACAGCCGCAGTCTCCTCGCCCCAACAGCGGATCGTCCAGCAGACGTGTCCCCGTGTGCCGGGCTGCCAGAGGCTCTGGCCTCGGGGACGGACGCTGTCCTGACCCACTCCCTCTGCTCTCCCAGGTGCAGCTGCGGCTTCGGGCCCCGTCAACCCCTTCCAGGTGAACCAGCCGCAGCCGCTGACGCTGAACCAGCTGCGGGGGAGCCCCGTGCTGGGGACCAGCGCGTCCTTCGGGCCTGGCCCAAGTGCGGAGCCCATGGCTGTGGCCTCCATGACCTCCACAGCCTCACTCCCAGCCCTGGGGGCCGGCAGTTCCTCCCTGGCGCCCCTGGGCCCTGCCACAAGGAACATGGTGGGCAGCATGGGCGCCCCCCCAGCGGCAGCTCAGGCTGCTGGCACGACCAACCCTTTCCTTCTCTAGTGCCCAGGGCCTGTGCCAGGACGCCAGCAGGACTCACTCGAGCGGTGTCAGGGCCGGGGGTCGTTCCAGTCTGCTTCCTGGTGGAGGGGTCTCCTGCGCAGCCCTGTCCTCCGGCGTGCGGAGCCTCCCATCCGGAGGGGCTCTGCGCGCCCTGACCCAGCGGCACCCTCCGCCTCCCGGGCAGGGCCTGGCTCCTGGGGTCCTCAGTGTCGCCCTTGCCGTCAGCCTCAGCCGGAGGGTCTCGGGGACACGGCCTCGCCCAGGACCGGGGGCGGCCGCCTTGTCTCTGCCCTGCGCCCCGGCCCTGCCGCCAGGTCGGTGGGAGGACGAGCTGGCTCCTCAGACCTTTGGGGAAGTGGTTGTGCATCTTTGACTCGTGTGTGAGTTCAGAGGAGACGCCCGGGGACGACTCGCGTTCAGCCGCCAGAGCGAGCTTTAAACTAACCCGGCGTAAGCCGCCACGCGGCTCGAGGCTTGTGTACGTTTGCACACGTTTTGTTTAGTACCGTTTCATATTTGAGTTTGCAGAATTATCTAACAGTCCTTTTTGGCTAATATTTTTATAACGTGGTTCTTATTTAACTGTCTAGTTTTGATAGAATTTACCAGGTCTGGCTGAATTAAGATATTGGCACATGTTATGTTAGTTTCAATTCTCTTATTTATGGTTTTAACTCTATAAGAAAATTTAAATAGGAAGAGTCAAAAAAATGCCTTATGGAAAACTAAAGCAAATTCTTTATAGGAAAAAAATGTGAGAGTTTGATTACACTTAAAAGATGATGTTTATTTAAAAAAACACTACAACAGCAACAAAAAAACTCTAGCCTCCAGTTGCCTTTTCCTTTAATTCCCTTTTTTGGTAAATTACCAAACTGATTAACTTTCAGCCTTTTCGGCTAGATGCTAAGAAGAAACTATTTTTCTTACTGATACACCAGCATCAAGAAAGTTAAGAAAAAAGTCTACTGTCTGAATGTGACCCCCAGTGTTATCAGCTGACCCCTTTTTAACTGGGCGGCACGGTCAGCGGGACTTCCCTCACGGTGGGAGCGTGAGAGGAAGAGACATCCCGGACCACTTGTCTGTGATCTCCTGTCTGATTCTCGCTCAGGTAAAGGGGGGCGGGTGTGGAGATGGCAGGTGGCTGGGGCTCGTGGCTGAGATGGGCGAGGGACCAGGGCTGGCCCTGACTAACTCCAGACACAGCACAGACTTAGAATCCACCATCTCTTATTTTGGAGAAGAAAACCATCCTCACCCAAGATAGACGTTAACAAACGTGCCCTTACGTCACCTCCCTCCCCCTCCCGCGCCCCTCACCCAGCCTCCACGATGAACAAGTATTAGGTCATAAACCATGGACCAGAACAGACTGCCTTTCCTAGGGGAGGGCATTCTCCCTCACATTCCACCGGGGTGCCCTGGCCTCACCCCAGGGCAGCGACCACCATGAGCCCTCGGAGCGGGCCTCGGCCCCTGCCTGCCTCTCGAGGGATCTGCCGGCCCTGGGCCTGGAGAGACACGGAGGCCACGTGACTGCCTGGGCCCCTCGCGTTTCCTGCTTCTGTCGCCAGTGCTGCTCCCTGAGGCTCCGGGGCTCAGGCCGGGCCTGTCGTGGGAGAGGCAGTGGCCTGGGGCAGGTGCTTCCCCAGGTACGGCCTGGCTGCCTCCCAGCCCCCAGCACGGCGATGCCCCTGCAGTACGGCCCAGGACACCCGGGTGTCTGCCCAGCACGGCTGTCACTCTGTCAGCTGCCTGCACTGATCATGCCACTGCCAGCCGCTGGCACGCGAGCTGCACACAGGCCCTCGCTCCCCCCTGAGGGCTTCGGGTGGGTCCCCCCCGCCGTTTTCTCAGCCCCAGGGGCCGGCAGCTGGTTTTGAACTTGTGTCACTATTGATATTTACTGTATAAATATAATTTATCGTTTGTATCATGATGCGGTCTCTGGCTGTGTCCTTTGCCCTCCCCCGTCTTTTCAGTCCCTGGCACAGGAGGGTGGGCAGGCTGTGGAGCCAGGTCCTGGCCAGGGGAGCTGGAGGCAGGGAGGTGGGGGCGCGCTCCCTGCCACCGAGCTGCCCTTCAGAGGCCGCCAGCCAGCCGCACCCCTCAGGGTGCCTCACGGCCGCCGGTTGGAGGCTGGTGCAGGGCCCTGTCCCCTTCCAGGACCTGAGATCAGAAGAGGAAGAGTACAGCAAGGGCGGTGACGGGCAGGAGCACAGGGGCGGTGGGGAGGGCGCTGGGCAGGCCTGGGCCCCGGCCTCTGCTCGGGGCTGCCTGCCACCCACCTTTCCGTGCGAAGTCCGGGCCGTGGACCCTCAGGGAGAGGACTAAACAGGGCCTGGGTGGGTGTGCAGGGCCTGCAGCAGTTGGGGATCCACTCAGGACAGGTGGGGGGCCTGGGCTGCTCTCCCAAGACGTGTCTGGGGACCTCGGCGGCTTCGGTCTGACACCGCCCCTTCCAGGAGCAGAAAGGGGAGGGGAGGTCCCCGTCCCACACCGATCCGATCCGTCTGGGCTCCGCAGCCGGAGGAGGGAATGCAGGCTCCCTGTGCCCAGGGGACCGGAAGTGGGCCTGGCCAGTCAGTCACGTGGCCCTCTGGCGCCACCACATACTTCACGGCTTCCCACACGTCGATCATCCTCCCCCCCCCCCCCCCATGGAGCGGTCCATGGCCCCATCCAGTCAGTCACCTGTGGGGCCAGGAGAGGGAGATGCTGGCTAAGCAGCCAAGCTGAGGGGTCGTTAGCAGCAGCAGGTAAGGAGCCCTCCCAGCAGCCTCTTCTCTCTGCTCCCTCACCTTTCACCTCGGTGCCAGCAGCCATGCCGTGCCGTGTGGAGCCACCCCAGTGCCCTGCTCCTGGGACCTGCCCAAGCCCAGTGACCTGCCCGTCAGATCTCAACGAGGCTTCACGGCCAAAGCCTGCTTCAGGCTCAGCCCTTCCTGTTTAAGTTCTAGGAGTTTCCTTTGCCAGACTTTTGATAACAGTTTTGGATCCTCTTCATTTCCTGTCACTTCCCCTTGCAGACTGGCCACTTCGCTGAGCACATCCCTTTGCGGTGGTAGCTTTCCAGTGGCCCACCTGCCTCCCGGCGAGCACGGCAGTCTGTGTCTGTCCTGCCGTCCAGGGTCCCGTCCGCCCAGCCCACACGCACCAGCTGGTTTGGTCAGATACCAACTGCCACGTCAGAACGAAGAGTTCCTGCTGCCGAGTGCCACGACTCGGCGGGAACATTCCGGCAGCGCCCTCCCTCGCGGGGCGCCGTCTTCACCCGCCTTCACCTGCCGGCCTCGGCGCCGTGGGAAAGGAAGGCTGAGGGCATCGCCCAGGGGGCTCAAGGGTCAGATCTTTACCTGGGAGCACCCTTCCCACCCGGTTTCCTAGCCAGCTGGTCCCATGGGCCCACGTAGACGCAGGGCCTGGGGGTGCAGACCCAGGAGAGGAGGCGGCCTGTGACAGCTTCCTCACGGGGAACGGGATCGACAGCGAGGGGTGGGCCCGGGCCGGATGCCCTGGCTGTTCACGGTCAGGGGTGGAGAGCCTTTTCCTGCCAAGGGCCATTTGGATATTTAAACATCATTCATGGGCCATACAGAACTATCAGCTAAAAAATCAGCCTGCTCTGTTTGGTCAAACGTTTAATTAACAAACCCTTACTGCCTTGGCAGGGCCAGAACCGCAGGCCTGCCGTTCCCACCTCCGGTGCAGCTGGTCCCAGATCCCGCCCTCCCCACTCCCCACGCCCGGGCACAGCGTCCCTCACCCATATTCCCGATGGGCACAGGCAGCGGGCGCCGGGGGTGGGGGGCACCCTGGGCCTGCTAGGCGAGGGCACTGCCACAGCTCCACAGGCAGTCCCCTGAGGTGTATGCATTTCATGACAAACAGCACGCTCTGGTGGCGACCAGCAGGCTGGCGTGTGCAGGGCGTGCCCGTGTCCTGCAGGCACTGAGAACGGGAAGGCTCCCGGAGGCGAGCGGGCAGAGGGCACACCAGGGAATGGGGATGGGAGACGGTGCAATGGTGCTCGTTGCAAAGGTATTTCAACCTTCCTAGGTTTAAACGTTTTAATAAAAAGTTGAAAAGTAGAAAATTAAACAGAAGCGAATGAACTGCTGTGTTACAGGTGCTGCAGGCCGGCTCTGCAGCCTGAAAGCTGCACTGGACGGTCTGGCCATGACGGGAAGGGGCGGGCGGGGAATGGGCGGTGAGGGGCAGAGGCCTGGAGCACGTGGGGCCCAGCGTGTTGGCGTGGCTGTCCCCTAAGAGGGCGCGTGGGAGCTGCGGAGTGGCCGCGAGGAGGCGGGCCAGGGCCTCACCCCAGGCATCTCTGCCCAAAGTAGGGGCCACCAGGAGCTCTGATCGCCCATTTCCCCGTGAGCATCTCAGTGAGGGCGAAGGAGACGGCAGGTTGGAGAGCAGAAAGGGGGTGAATGAGCTTCCGCAGACGGCGAGGGGCTGAGGAAGTGGGGGAAGAGGGGGACGGTTGGCGGCAACGGGAGGGAGGCCTGGCCCTGGACACGGTGCGGCAGCCCTCGTGTGGACGCTCTGCCCGCCCTGGTCCTCAGCAGGCGGCCCGCTCCCGGGCCCAGGCTGGCCAGACGAGAACAGAGCAGGGCGGGGGGCTGAGGGTGCAGTGGGCCTGCACCATCCATGGTGAGCAAGCGGAGGTCCGTCCCGACTCACCCTGCAAGTTTGACTGAAGGCCATCTGTCTGCTGTGAACCAATAAAAAGTGTATCTTTTTTTTGTCAAATATTTATCTGTTGGTGGCCAAAGAATTTTAGGATTAGTTCCTATGCCATGGGATGAGAGAGGTCTCCCAGCCTGGCGTGGGCCCGGAGAGCGAGCCCAGCCCAGCGGGCGAGGCCTGCCCGCAGGCAGCAGCACCGCCTGGGGACTCCCAGCGGGCGAGGCAAGGTTTTAGGGTCTCGCCAAGTCTGGCGCTTTCGCTGACACTGCCTGTCGCCACGCGACCTGATGCATGTCAGTACGGCCCCACCGAGATGCCCTCCTTGCTCGCTGGTTTGTGGTTAATCCACCCGAGGATGGTTTCTTTTGGTCTTTAGGGAGCGGAAGGATGGGGGACAGAACAGCCACGTGAGACACACCGAGCGGTTGCCTCTACACGCGATCCCAGGATCCAGCCTGCAACCAATATGTGCCCTTGACCTGAACTGAACCTGGGACCATTCAGTCCACAGGCCCCCACTGTGCAATTGAAGCACACTGCTAGGCAGATCTGTCACCTTCACAATAAACCTGCAGCCTTATTTGAAAGGGGGGAGGGGGGGTAATGACTGATTTTTAAAAAAATATATTTTATTGATTTTTTTACAGAGAGGAAGAGAGAGGGATAGAGTTAGAAACATCAATCAGCTGCCTCCTGCACACCCCCTACTGGGGATGTGCCTGCGACCAAGGTACATGCCCTTGATCAGAATTGAACCCGGGACCCTTCAGTCTGCAGGCCGCCACTCTATCCACTGAGCCAAGCCGGTTTTGGCATGACTGAATCCTAAATTGGGATACATCCCCGGAGGAAGGAAGGGCGGGCTCAGTGCACCGCACGGGCGGTGGGCCTGAGGACCCGGATGGGGGGCGGCTGGAGGGGGACACAGGAAAGGAACTGCCCCCCCCCGGGGGGGGGACGCTTGGATACACATTTTGGAGAGGATTCTCACTGGCCACGAGAACAGGCTCTGACCATGGTGGCTCAGAGGACACAGGCCAGCTCACTGCCAGGCTGAGGAGGACAAGCCGGCAGCGGCGCTGCCATGACAGCTGGAGGAAGACCAGGCCGAGCCCTCTGTGGACATGAGGTGGGGCCGGGGCCGGGGGGCGGGGAGCTGCGGTGGGAGGAGGAAGTGCTCCCGGGAGCAGGGCACAAAGCCCAGTCTGAGCCGGGGGCCCTGGAGCCGGGGGGCCGCGGCGCAGGAGGGCCGGCGGGAGGCACTGTCCCGTCAGCAGGATGAGCCGGAGCCGCTGGTGGAGCTGCAGAGCGCGGCGAGGGGGGCGGGGACGGGAGGTGCCCAGAGCAGAGCCGTGGTCTGAGGACACGCCCACCGCAGCGGCCGCAGAGCACCGGGCTCCCCTGAAATCCTGGGGTGCCGCCTGGGCGTGGCCCGGCCCACCCCGCCCCGCCCCGCCCCACGGGAAGCCGGTCTGTGGGGAGGGGAGGTCTGGCCTGGCGCTGGCAGGTGAGACGCGGCTGGAGGCCTCCCTCAGCCCGGGTGCCGGTGCCGCGTGCAGCCTCCTCGCCGGGGAGGCGGCCAGGGCTGCGGGGCAGGTGGAGGGCGGGCGGGCGGGGCCTCTCCCCACCTCTCCTAACAGGGTATTGTCTTGTTGCCAAGGAAGAATGGAGATGGAGGTGACGGTGACAAGTGCCTCCTGGGGTCAGCAGTACGAAACGGCAGCTCCCGCCCGGCTCAGGCCGGGGGCGGTGCTGAAGGGGCGAGGAGGCAGCCAGCCTGGGTTCTGTGACAAAGCAACCATTTATTTTATGAAAACCCCGCCCCCCAGGCACTGAGGCAGGTGGCTGGGGGCGGCTGCCGGTGGGAGCCGCTCCGTCTGGAGAAGGGGCCGCGCTTCATGGGGGGAGGCCCTGGGGCGGGCTGGGCCCCAGGACCCCCTGCGAGTCCGAAGGCCCCGTGTCGTAGCCCAGCTTCCTCATGTCCTTGGTCACCACGTTGAAGAGCAGAGTGACAAAGCCCTGGGAGCGGACGCGGGTCACTGGGGGCAGAGGGGAGGTCAGCGCCGGGCAGACAGCCGGCCGCGCGGAGCTGTGGGACGCCCGCAGCCAGGACCCCCCCTCCCCCAGCCCTCGCCTCTCCGTGCTGGCGGGTCCTGGCACCCCAACTGCCCCAGGGGGTCACCTCGCCCCTCCCGGGCTCCACCTGTCTGCAGGGCCGGGGTGGGGTTGGGGTCAAGCTTTACCTTCCCGGCCTTCACCCTGGGCCACCACCTTGGGGTCCGTGTACTCAGGCCGTCGTCCCATGAACCAGCTGAGAGACAGGACGCCAGGTGAGCCGCAGTCCCGGCCACAGACCACTGAAGTGGGCGCAGCCTCTCCTCCGCGCGCCCCCACCACCGGGGCAGGCCTGCCTGAGAGCAAGGCCAACACAGGGGCCGACACCCACCGAGCCCAGGACCCCGCACTGGCCGCCGGGCGGGGCCGCCTGCCCTGGGGCCACAGGCCCCCGAGGGGAAGGCAGGAGGCGCTAGGTTCCTGCGTCCTCAGAGGCCTGTCCTCAGCCTCCCGGACAGCAGCCGGCCTGCAGGAGGGGCTCCCAGCTCAGCCACCCTGGCGCCCACGGCTGCCAGCTCCACAGGCTGCGGAGGCCCCGTGGGGCCTGGACTCCCCGCCCCCGGAAGGGGACAGGGAGGGAGCCGGAGCCCCGGCTCCAGCTGGGACTGACAGGTGTCACGCTCTGTGCCTCAGTTTCCCCATCTGAGGAGTGGGGTGAGGGTGCTGTGGGCTGGGCCGGGCGGGGCGCTGGCCGGGGGGCGCAGGGCCAGGTGCAGGGAGCCTGACGGCAGACATGTCTCGGGTTCTGAACCTCAGGAGCCCGTCCTCGTGGCTGAGACCAGCGGAGGGACTGTCCCAGGCTGAGTGCTGGCCCTGTGAGTGTGGCCTCGTCTGGAGACGGGACCTCGTGCGGGTGGCGGGAGCTGAGCACGGGCGCTCCGGCCTCCGTGTCACCAGAAAGGTCCCGTGAGAGGCGGGACCAGTGACGTGGCCACAGCCGGGCCACGGCCGGGGCGGGGAAGGGCCTCGGGCTGGAACGGCGCGCAGCCGCGACACCTCCAGCCGGCGGGGACCCTGCGGCTTGGGCCTCCAGGTCGCGTAGTTTGGTCGTGGGGACCGCGGGGAACACTGGGCGGAAGAGAGTGCAAACCGCAGGCCCGGGGAGCAGAGGGCGGAGGCCGGGGAGAGCCGGCACTGAGAACGCCAGGGGACCCGCCAGCCCGGGTCTCGGCCTGAGCAAAGGCGGCTGCTGAGCTGGGCCCCCGGAGGTCTGCCCTCACCCTCAGACCTCCCGCTCGGCCTCGCCCAGCCCGGGCTCCTGCACCGAGGCATCGGGAGGCACGGGCCTCGACGGCCTGCGAGCCGCCCGGCCCCTCGGAGCTGGGAGCGGGGGCACAGCAGCGCGGCCCAGGCAGGACGGGGTGGCTCTCGCGCCCTGGACCTTCCTGTGCCCGCTGATGGGCACTGCCTGCTTCCCCAGGGGCCCCCCATCAGGGTGGTCTCCCAGGGGCCTCTAGGGGCAGGAGGCACCCAGACTCCCCTCCGTAGGCTCAGAACTCACGGGGCCTGCTCCGGCCTGGTCTCTGCAGCACCCCCGCCCCGGCCCAGCCCCAGACCCGCTTCCATGTGCCCTAGGGGGGCAGCTGGGCGGCCCGGCAAGGCCCCTTGGCACAGAGAGGGCAGATGTGGCAGGAGGGGGGGGGGGCGACGTGTAGAAAACCCACCTTGTGAACTTCTGCAGCTTCGATGTGGACTCCGGGACGAACATGGGGATGGTCCTCTTGTGTCTGAGCAGAGGGGGAGAGGTGTCGAGGGCCGGAAGCCATGCCGCTGCCGGAGCCCCCGGCGAGTGGACAGCCGGGACGGCAGGCAGCGCACCGGTGGGCGTGTGCAGCACGAGGCCAGCCCCGCAGAGCTGTCCCTCTGAGCCTTTGTTCTTTAAGTCAGGATGCTCGGCCCGCGCCCACGTGCGCCTTGGAGAGGCTCCCACTGCCCCCCATGCCCAGTGCTCTGCCGTCCTCAGGTGGTGCAGGGCGCGTGGCCTCCGCCAGGAAGCCCTGCACACCTGGCCCTCGGCCCGCCCAGCCACTCACCCTCCGGCCCGGGCCTGTCCGCCCTCCTCTCTGGGTCTTGTTTTAACAGAACTCGGAGCAGCACGCCCGGCGCCCCTCTCGCCTTCCCCAGACCCACTCCCGTCCTCAGGCCAGCAGCCTCAGCCTGCTCTGTGCCAGCCCTCGGCCTGCCCCCGCCCCACGCCGACGGCACGGCTGCTCCACGGCTCCGTGTCCTCTGCTGCCAGGAGCACTGGGCTGAGGCACCGAGGGAGGGGGAGATGCAGGGCTGAGTGCACTCGGACCCTGATGCCCAGGCCCCTCGGAGTGGGCGCAGCCCCTCAGGGTGCCAGCACCCCTCCACCCCGTGGTGTTCAGGCGGCAGCACAGACCTCGCCCACTTAGGTCCCCTTCCACGCATGAGCTGCCAGACCCCGGGCAGCAGCACGTGCCTGGCCTGGAGGTGCAGGCCGTCCCGGAACGGCCCTGCTGAAGCCCGAGCCCCAGGCGAACGGCCCAGCGAGGGCCGGCTGGCCGGCGGGCGGGAGGGGAGGGCCTACCTGCCGGGCGAGAGAGGCACGTGCACCGCCCCGTAGCCGCGGACCACGTCGTTCCCAAACACGTCCGGCCCGTACACGCTGAGCACGATCTGCGGCCCTGCGGGGACAGGCAGGTCAGCAACGGGACCGCGGGGGAGAGGCAGGCGGAGGGGGAGGGGGCCCAGCCCGGGGCAGGGGCCTGCAGCAGGTGCAGGCCTGGGGCCCCTGCAGCCCAGGTCCCGGTGAGGGAACCAGAACCTGCAGGGCAGGCCCCTTGCTTGGCCGACGGCAGAGTCAGAGCAGGGTGCTGCCCACGCCTGCCATCAGACACATGCAGTGGCTCTGGAGCCCTTCAGGGACGGCCAGGAGGCTGGTTTCTGTCTGGGGAGACGGCAGAGAGCAAGCAAAGGCCTTCCTACACCTCCCTTTGCATATGAGCAATTATGCCCAGCCCGGTGGGGCTCGGTACCAAAAGGTTGCTGGTTCGATTCCCAGTGCCGGGGTTGTAGGCTTGGACCCTGGAAAGGGGTGTGCAATATGCAGCTGATGGATGTTCACTCTCACATTGATGTTTCTCTCTCCCTCTCTTCCTCTCTAAAAATCAATACAGAATATTAACAATTACACCTGTTTCCTATTCACATCAGGCTTCTCCTCACGGCCCCTGATGATGGCAGTGGGGCTGCCCGGCGGCCACCAGCACTACTCGCAGGCAACTCCCGCCTCCCCGAGGCCTGGACCAGGGCCTGAGGCTGTGCGCAGGTGTGCGGGAGGCTGTGCCCTCCTGTCACTGCCTTAGAGCTCACCACTACCAGAGCTTCATGAAACCACTCCTTCCAGGTTTCCCTGCCAGCGAATGCTCCCAGCAGGCAGGGCCTCTGGTTCTGTCCCCTTTACTGAACTTCCTGGAAGTGACTCTATCCTCTAATGCAATGTGTTTGTGAGACTCGCTCCCTGACGTCGGCTGGAGCCCTCGTCCTGGCTCTTGGCCTGTTTGTCTCCCGCCCTTTTGCCACAGGATGGCCTTTCTCACGGGCTTGGAATGTGTGTGAAATCTGCGCTCTCCTCTCTCTGACCGGAAGCCAGTTCCGCACGTCCGCAGGGCTGAGTCATCTGGGACGGCTGAGGGCATTTCCCAAACCTGAAAGGGATGCACTAAATGACTGCTTGCTGCCAGACAGCTCAGGGCATCTTAATCTACATGCCATTGCCTCCTGTTGGCCAAACACCTGAACAGCCATAGGCAAATTCTTCCATTCTGACAATGGACCCTATATAGGGCACCCTACCATTTGATGTGTATATCTACCTCACCTTAGAACAAACGGTGTTAATAAAAAGCAGTTTTAGTTCTCCTGAGACAAGAACTTAGTTTCTTTAGCTAAGTCTTCTCTGACTCCCTATAATGCCTTTCAAAATTATGTTTCGTCTTTGGACTCTTGATTAATTTATGCACAGCCCTTCCCCAGATTGCTGAACCCTTTTATTTAAAAAATATATTTCATTGATTTTTATACAGAGGAAGGGAGATAGTTAGAAACATCGATGAGAAACACCCATCAGCTGCCCCCTGCACACCCCCTACCAGAGATGTGCTCACAACCAAGGTACATGCCCTTGACCGGAATGGAACCTGGGACCCTTCAGACCGCAGGCTGATGCCTCTATCCACTGAGTCAAACCGGTTTCGGCTGCTGAACCCTTTTAGATGCTGGATCAGAACCACTGGTGTTAGCCTGCACCCTTCCCAAGGCTCCCGTCCGCGGCCTGGCGCCAGCGCCGTGCTGTCCCCCTGAAGGAAGCTGGTTCTCCCGGCTGGCATGAGCAGACCCGCTGGAATCAGTGTGTGTGACCGGAGTGGGGTCTGCTTTCCTCCTCCAACCTGTGCACATCTGCCCATCCCAGCACCACTTAGGACTCTCACTCTCACACAGACAGACTCTCCCTGCGGCTGGGCAGCGCCAGTGCGGGCCAGCTCTGTGCTGGTCAGTCTGCCCTGTGCCAAGGCCACTGCCTCAGCACTGCACTTTGTAATCAAAGCTTCACATCTGGTAGCACCAGTTGTATCTTGATGTTTTACTTATTTCACTTTTCAAGTTATCATTTTCTACTTGTTATACAGAGTAGAATATTTATGTATTCTATTTATTCTTACACAAAAAGCAACTGATTCTTTATTAATCTTATCAACGGCATGCATGACAATACACTACCTCTAATAATTTATTTGAAGGTTACTTTGGAAATTCTACGTGATCCTGTCACCCGGGGTAGTTCTGTTCTGCCTTCCTAACTCCTATGCCCTTCATGTGCGCAGTGTTGGCGATAACAAGCACCCTGATCTCAGAGGGAGATCCTTCGACAGTTCACTAACAGTGATGTTTCCTCTAAGTTTTTGAAGTTAGCCTTTACTGATTAAGGAGGCTTCACTTTATTCCTGCTTTGCTAAATATTATCATGGATGTTCACTGTCATGTCGATGTTTCTCAGTGAGGCCCAGTGGCTGAGCATCAACTCATGAACCAGGAGGTCAGGGCTTGAATCTGTCAGGGCACACACCCAGGCATCTGGTCATTGCTCAGTCTCCAGTAGGAGGCGTGCAGGAGGCAGCTGATCAATGATTCTCTCTCATCATTGAGGTTTCTCTCTCTCTTTCCCTCTCCCTTCCTCTCTGAACTCAATAAAAAGAATGGATATTGAATTTCATTACACTTCCTTCATTTATGAGGATGATTACAACCTTTCTGTGTGGTAGATTACACCAATTGATTTTAGATGCTGAGCTTTGTATTTTTAAAATAAACACTCCTTGCTCATGTGCTATCATCTTTGTACCCTGCTGGTTCAGTTTGTGAAGACTGTGTTTGGTCAGGTCTGGAACGGTGTGGATCTGTGGGGCTGGCCTGCCTCCTCTCCTCATTCCAGGCCCAGCTCTCCGAGGTCTTGGCCCAGGTTGGGAGGACTTACCGGAGGCCTGCACCCAGCCCTTCCAGAGTTCTGCACCCGCTTCTTGGGCCCTGAACCAGGGAGGCTGTCAAGTCTTGATACCCTGGCCAGCTGTGCTCAGTGGGTAGAGTACCAGCCTGCACACCAAAGGGGTCACGTTTGGTTCCTGGTCAAGGCATGTACCTGGGTTGCAGGTTCACCAATCGATGTGGCTCTCATACAGTTGTTTCACTCGCCCCCAGTCGCTTGTTGGACTGGTTTCCTCCTAGATCCTGGCCTGGTAACTCACTGCTCTGCTCGCCACCCGATGCCTTTAGGGGTTGTGTCGTTTGCCTTTCCATGTTTCTCTGCCTCTCCTAGCCGTCCTCAGCAAGAGGGAGCTGTCACTATCCAGGCGGCGGAGGCAGCATGGGAGTTCTTGCTCGTGAGGATGAGGGCAGGAGGCCGTGGTGCCCAGGAGGGCCGCAGGCAGCTGCTCCGGCCCCGCCCAGGAGCCGGCCCGGCCGGTGCAGCAGGATGGCCTGCGCTGTGAAGCCGAGGGGCTGCATGTAAGTCATGCTCAGCTGCAGGGTAAGGCTGGAAGCAGGAACGGCTTTGGAGTGTTTCCTCACGCGAGGTGAGAACAGAGCGCGCTGTGCCCACGCAGGACGGGCCCACCACACAGGGAGACAGTCCCGCGGGCGCCAGCGCCGGCCTCGCACACAGCGGGCGGGAGGGTCCTGTAGGCAAGCAGCTCCGGGAGGGGTCAGAAGTAGGATGTGGGGAAGGGGTCCTGGGCAGGGAAAGCACGAAGCATGCCCAGAAGAGGCCACGCCAGGGACTGCACGGAGGAGCAGGCGTTGGGGTCCTGGGCACAGGCTGTGCGGAGGCCGAGGCAGCACCCAGCACCCAGACCCGCAGCCTGCGCCCTGGCTCTGCCCTTCACGGCAGAGCACCCCCGGCTTCAGGCTGGGGCGACCTGACTCTCTCTGGACCTCGCGGAGGTGGACTGGGCTGGGAGGAGGAGGAAATGGAGGGAAAGGGCCAGCTGGCACAGTATGAGGCTGGTACGAGGCCCAGCTGATGGACGTGGTGGGCAGGAGGCTGAGGCTGAGGCTGAGGCTGCCCGGGGGTGCCCCCCCCCCGCCCCTCCGTCCCCGCGGCCCCGCAGACTCACAGCCGAAGGGGTTGGTGCTTTTGAAGGTGACGTCGATGGGGAAGTTCCACACCAGCGCGTGCGGCACGTCGCGGCTCTTGGACGTGATCTGGGAGATGCCCTCCTCCAGGCCCTGCGGACGGACATGGCCTGGGTCCCGCCGGCAGCCAGGCCCTGCCGCAGCCCCTGCCGCCGGCCCCTCGCTGGGCGGCAGCGGGAGGGCTGACTTTTCACCACCTCCTGCCAAAGCACTAACTTCCAAACAAGGAACTACGAGACACTGGGCAGGTCCTGGCTGATGGGCACCTTCCGGAGCCGCCTTCCCGCCTTCCTGGCCCTTCGCCGAGCCCGAGGGGTCTTTTCTCCACACAGACACCACCTGCTGGCCCCACGCCCTGTCAGGCAGGCCGCTCCCCTCCGGAGCAACCTTGAAAGAGCTGCCAGACTCCCGGCTCCAAGCCCTTCTTTGCTTTTCTCTCTCGAACCCGCTCCAATCTGACCACCTTACCCCCCGACCAAAGGGCTTCTCTAAGTAATGTCCTCGGCTTCGCTGGTGACGTCCTTCCTCATTTTGTCCGGCCACTGGGCCTCTGACACAGACAGCCACTGCCCGCCTTCCTCTGCCTCCCGGCACCTCGCCTCTCGGAGGTCCCCGGTCGGTCCCCCTCCAGCCCCGGCCCCGCAGCCCCCGCAGCCCCCGCACAGCCTCCCTCGTGCGGAAGCACCTGGGCCCGGTCTGGAGGCTCTTTCTCTGCACTGGGTTCCCATCAGTCTGAGGTTTCAGTGTGGTCTGTGGTGATGATTCCTAAGCTCGCCACCTCCAGCCTGGTCCGCCCTCTGCACTCCCATCAGCACCGCCTGTCTCCACAGCGACTCCCGGGCCCCATCCGGACCTCTCTCGGGAGGGACCCTTACACACGCCCGCCCAACGCGGGAGAGAACCCAGTCTGTCCTACAGAGCTCCGAGCCACGCTCCCAGCTACTGAGTGTGGCCTTGCTCTGTCTTTAAATCCTCACCCGATTTAAAGAAATTGATTTCACCGAAACCGGTTTGGCTCAGTGGTAGAGCGTCGATCTGCGGACTGAAAGGTCCCAGGTTCGATTCCAGTCAAGGGCATGTACCCGGGTTGCGGGCACATCCCCAGTAGGGGGTGTGCAAGAGGCGGCTGGTCGATGTTTCTCTCTCATCGACGTTTCTAGCTCTCTATATCTCTCCCTTCCTCTCTGTAAAAAATCAATAAAATATATATTTTTTAAAAATTGATTTTGAGGGAGGGAGGGAGGAAGGGAGGGAGACAGCGATTGGTTGCCTCTGCAGCGGGGGCTGGGGAACCGAGGTACATGCCCTTGGCCAGGAATAGACTTGGTGACCAAAGGGTCTATGGGCGGACGCTCTAAGCACTGGGCCAAACCAGCCAGGGCAAGTGTGTGTTACTCTCGGCTCCTCTTTCTCATGCCCACACCTGCCCAACAGGAAAACCTGTTGGCACTACCTTCAAAATATACTTGAAATTCAGCCGCCGCTCACCCCTCCCCCTCCCCGTCCACACCGCCATCGCCCACCTGGTTAGAGTTGGTGGTCCCCTGCTTTGGCCCTGGTTCCCCATGGTCCCCTCCCAGGAAGGATCAGTCTCTCAGGAACACAGGTCAGATGGCCTTTCTCTCCGCTCACAGCGCTCGGAGGGAGCCCTAGCCCTCCTCTCCCCCTAGCAGGAAGGTCCATGGCCCTTATTCCGAACCACCACGCCCTCAAGACCCCCTGGGACCTGCTCGTCCCCAAGCCTTCTCCTTGCTCACAGTCCACCCGCCACACCGGCCTCCTCCTGTTCCCACCGCCAGCACTCCTGCCCAGGGCCTGGCACTGCCCCGTCTCCCGGCACGCTCTGCCAGAATGTCCACGTGGATGGTCCCCTCGCCTCCTGCTCAGCGAAGCCCTGCCTCACCACCAATGTAGATCTCCCCTCCCCCCAGCTCCCCTTCCTAACTCACTGTCTCCGCAGCACTGCGACTTGCTAACACGCTACAAGGTCTGTGCCCAAGGAGTGCACCCAGGAAGACAGGGACCAGCCCAGCACAGGCCCTTCATAAAGCCGCCAGCCAGCAGCCCCGGGAAACATGTCCCCTCTCCTCGTCTCTGCAGACCAGGAAGCCACTCTGGGCGAGTGAGCCACTTCGGGAGGTTAAGGACGTGAGCCCTCCGTGTCCTCAACTGCCTGTGGCCAAACGAGAGCTCTGCCAACAGTCAGCTGGGGGCGCGGCCTCGGCCCTGGCCTGGGGGACAGGCCGGTCCTGGGGGGAGAGGCCGGTCCTGGGGGACAGGCCGGTCCTGGGGGACAGGCCGGTCCTGGGGGGACAGGCTGGTCCTGGGGGGACAGGCTGGTCCTGGGGGACAGGCTGGTCCTGGGGGGACAGGCTGGTCCTGGGGGGACAGGCTGGTCCTGGGGGACAGTATGGTCCTGGGGGACAGTATGGTCCTGGGGGACAGGCTGGTCCTGGGGGACAGGCCGGTCCTGGGGGACAGGCCGGTCCTGGGGGACAGGCTGGTCCTGGGGGGACAGGCTGGTCCTGGGGGGACAGTATGGTCCTGGGGGACAGGCTGGTCCTGGGGGACAGGCTGGTCCTGGGGGGACAGGCCGGTCCTGGGGGACAGGCCGGTCCTGGGGGGACAGGCCGGTCCTGGGGGACAGGCTGGTCCTGGGGGGACAGGCCGGTCCTGGGGGGACAGGCTGGTCCTGGGGGGACAGGCTGGTCCTGGGGGACAGGCTGGTCCTGGGAGGACAGGCTGGTCCTGGGGGGACAGGCTGGTCCTGGAGGGACAGGCTGGTCCTGGGGGACAGGCCGGTCCTGGGGGGACAGGCCGGTCCTGGGGGACAGGCTGGTCCTGGAGGGACAGTATGGTCCTGGGGGACAGGCTGGTCCTGGGGGACAGGCTGGTCCTGGGGGGACAGGCTGGTCCTGGGGGGACAGGCTGGTCCTGGGGAAGTCTTGAAGGGAGAGCTCCGGGTCCCCAAAGGCTGAGAGGCCAAACGGTGCAGGACCAGCCCAGAATCACAGCTCAGCCAGCATGCTGACTGGTCTGACTGCCCTGCGCTTCTGTGTGCTGCCCGGTGCAGCGCCTGGAGGGTCCCTGAGCAAGCAAAGCCTTGGGGTGGGGCCTGGAGCCAGTGGTGTCTGCACTGCGCACTCAGCTTTACCAGGAACAGCTCATTTCCAGTGCCCTCTGAACTCTGTCTATCTTTCCAACAGTTCTGAACTGGAAGGGAAGGGGTGTGTCTGGCCTTCAGAAACTCCAGGTCTCAAAGGTGTGAGGAGGGCCTGGGACCAGCTGACCACGGAGGGCCCAGCTGACCACGGAGGGGCCAGCTGACCGCGGAGGGGCCAGCTGACCGCGGAGGGGCCAGCTGACCGCGGAGGGGCCAGCTGACCGCGGAGGGGGGCAGCTGACCGCGGAGGAGGGCAGCTGACCGCGGAGGGGCCAGCTGACCGCGGAGGGGCCAGCTGACCGCGGAGAGGGGCAGCTGACCGCGGAGGAGGGCAGCTGACCGCGGAGGGGCCAGCTGACCGCGGAGGGGCCAGCTGACCGCGGAGAGGGGCAGCTGACCGCGGAGGGGCCAGCTGACCGCGGAGGGGCCAGCTGACTGCGGAGGGGGGCAGCTGACCGCGGAGGGGGCAGCTGACCGCGGAGGGGGGCAGCTGACCGCGGAGGGGGGCAGCTGACCGCGGAGGGGGGCAGCTGACCGCGGAGGGGGGCAGCTGACTGTGGAGGGGCCAGCTTACCGCGGTGGGTGCCCAGTCGTGGCCGTACACAAAGCAGTATTTGCAGTAGAGGTCATCGTACTCAGGAAACTGTGGAGAAAGCACACACAGGTTGTTCAGGGAACGCACGCTGAGCCAGTAGCAATTCTGATTTGAGACGTGGGCTGGGATCTGAATGGCTACGGATGTGGACACGGGGTTCACGTGGGGCTGGGTGTGGGGTGCAGGGCAGAGTACCAGCTGCCACTGCCCCTGGGCCTGTGCTCACTCTGCCCTCCGTCTGACACGCCTTTCCCAGCCCTTCCTCTGGCACACCCCTGCTCCCCCGCAGGGAGCTGTCCGGGCTCCCTGGCTGTTAGGCCACCTCCTGGCTCCTGGCCCCCGGAGCGTCCCTGCACCGAGGCATTTGCCTGTTTGTTCCTGTTCACCCATCAGACTGTGAGCAGGGAACAGATGGCTTTCTGCGCCCCAGCCTGACACGGTGGGCACAGAGGAGACGTAAGGAAATGGTGGGAACTGAGCGCAGGCGCTGTCAGGACAGCGGATGCCCCGCTACAGCTGAACGCCTGCAGAGTGGGGGAGGGGCAGAGGCTGGGCGGGTGCTCAGAGTGGACACATGACCCAGCCCAGTGAGAGCCCCTCAGCAGCCCGAAAGGGCAGTGTAGCCAAGCTCTGGTGCTGCGAGGACCCCGTTCAAATCCCACTTTTGCCACTTCCTTTGGGCAAGTTTTCCCATCTGTAAACTGGGATCCAGTGATACCTACTTCACAGAGGCATGGTGAGGCTTTCAGGCGTCTTCAAACTACGGCCCGCGGGCCACATGCGGCCCGCAGAGGAGTCTGATCCGGCCTGCCAGGTTTTTTGGGCAGTGAGTGCAGCCGAGGTGTTACAGTAGGAATTAGTAGTTCATATAGTCCGGCCCTCCAGCTCCCTGAGGGACCGTGATCTGGCCCCCACTTTAAAAAGTTTGAGGACCCCTGGAATGAGCAGTGCTGAGCACGGAGCTTGGCACAGAGCAGACACCTGGTGAACTTTTAAGAAATTCATATATACACACATATAAACAAATGGTTCTTACAATGGAGGGGGGTGGAGTGGCGTCCCCTTGCGTCTGACAGACACATCCTCCCTGGTCCATTCCAAGGCACTGCCACCACAGGTGAGAGTAACCAAATCATCTCTGTTCTAGCCCAGGGTCAGATCTGGGGGTTCAGCGCGGGGTGGGCGCTCGGAGCGCACGGGGCGGGGCGCGGACGCCTGGGGCTCCCCCGCGGACCAGGCCCGGCGCGGGCTCCGCCGCTCCAGCCCGCGTGAGGCTCCTCCCCCAAGTGCACCCCGAGCCCGGCCACACGGGCCGAGGGTGGCCCCGCCACCAGCCCGGCTCTCGGTGTCACACGCCCGCACGTCAGGCTTAAGGATGGCCGGCAGCCTCGCCAAGCTTCTCAGATGCTGGCGCTCCCCGCCTAACGGGAGTGAGGAGCCTCCTCGGGCCACACAGCAGCCCGGAGGCTGCGGGCAGCCCCAAGCGGTTTGGGGGGCGGGCCCGGTCGGACCCTGGGCGCTCACCTGGGCGCTCTCCACCTGCCCGCTGACCATGAGCAGGAAGACGCTGGGGCCCGCGGCCGCCATGGGCGAGGGCGCGCGGAAACCGATCGAGCAGCGCGGCAATCGCCAAGAGGCGCCCTAGTTGCCCTGGAAACAGACGGCGTGGAACCGGGCTTGGCGCGGGACCTTCTGCGCAGCCGCGTGGGCGTGCTGGCGGCGCGCAGGCGCAGACGGCGGCTCTCCTCTCAGGAATGCTGGGAGGCGGGCGGCGCGGGGCGGGGCGGGAGGGAGAAGTCGGCGCGGTGCTTCGTGGGTGAGTCCCCTCGGCCTCGGTCTGCGCGCCCCACGCGGAGGCGCGGCCGGCGGGAGGACTTTGGAGGCCCAGTGGTGCAGGCAGCCCCCGGCCACGAGACGGCGCTGCGGCGCTACAGCGAGGCGGGGCGCGGGGAGCCTGCGGGGCGCGGGCTCTGCCTCGAGTCTGAGGAGCACCAGCAGCGCCCGTTGTGGCTTTTGAGACCTTCATCTCGAGAAATTTATTATTATTATTATTATTATTATTTTTTTAATGAACAGCACGGTACTTTTCAAGAGGAACACTCTATTTTTATTTTTATTTTTAATCCTCACCTGCATTTGTTACCAAACCCAAGGGGTTTGCTGCTTGGGGTGCTCTATTAAAAAACAAGACATAGCCGAGATCGGTTTGGCTCAGAGGATAGAGTGTCGGTCTGTGGACCGAAAGGTCCCAGGTTCCATTCTGGTCCAGGGCATGTATTGGGTCGGCAGCTAAGTAATTGCGGATTTTTTAAAGAAAATCAAAGACAATTTTTTCATGGAACTAAATAACTTTATTCTGTAATGTATTGCCCATTTTGATCAATGACCTTTTGCCATCTTTCAGGCAGCATCATAATCCCACGTTCAAAAAACTTCTGGTTTTTATTAGCAAAAAACTGAATCAGGTACGATTTGACATCATCATCATTATTGAAATTTTTACCATTCAAGGAGTTTTGTAAAGATCGAAACAAAAAGTAATCAGATGGTGCAAGGTCAGGACTATATGGTGGATGTGGCAAAACATCCCAACCAAGCTCCATTAATTTTTGCCGAGTGACCAAAGATGTGTGTGGCCTTGCATTGTCATGATGGAATACAACACCTTTTCGATTTGTCAATTCGGGCCGCTTTTCTTCAACTGCATTGTTTAATTTCGTTAGTTGTTCAATGTAGACATCAGAATTGATCATTCGGTTGGGTGGTAAGAGTTCAAAGTAGACAATTCCTTTGTAATCCCACCAAACTGATAACAAAACCTTCTTTTGATGAATATCAGCTTTTGATGTTGTTTGAGTTGGTTCACCTGGCCTGCTCCACGATCTTTTCTGCTTGATATTGTTGTAAACAACCCATTTTTCATCGCCAGTTATCAGTCGTTTTAAAAATGGATCATTTTCATTACGTTTCTTTAGCAAATCGCAGCTGCTAATGCATTGCGTTAACTGTGATTCTTTCAGTTCGTGAGGAACCCATGTATCGAGTTTTTGAACATAGCCAAGTTGTTTTAAGTGATTTTCAATGCATGTATGTGATACATGAAGCTTCTCTGCAATCTCACGTGTTGTACTGTGACAGTCCGAATTGATTATTGCTTTGATTAGGGCGTCATCAACTTCAACTGGACGACCAGAGCGTTTTTCATCTTTTAGTGAAAAATCACCAGAACGAAATTTGGCAAACCAATTTTGACACTGCTGTTCTTTTAAGGCTTCGTCACCATAAACAGCACATAACTTTTTATGAGCTTGCGATGCGTTTTTCCCTTTGCGGAAATAAAAAAGCAAAATATGACGAAAATGTTCCTTTTGATTTTCCATTTTTAAACGAACGCCAAACGAAAACTACAAAACAGATCAAAAAACTTTTTTTACTGATTAACAGCTGAATAGCCAACTATCAAATAACAAAATGTGTTTTACATTTTTACTACGTCTGCAAACCTAAAAATTCAACTGAAGCCATATATGTGTGAAACCCGCAATTACTTAGCTGCCGACCCAATACATTGGTTGCAGGCACATCCCCGGTAGGGGGTGTGCAAGAGGCAGCTGGTCGATGTTTCTCTCTCATCGACGTTTTTAGCTATCCCTCTCTCCTCTCTGTAAAAAACAAATAAAAATATATTTAAAACAAACAAGACATAGTTGCCACAGCTTACACACACTGTTTGGTCAATTACATGTTGATTTCTTCTTTGCAGTTGACTATACTTATCAGGTCGAGTTCCTGTCCAGCTCCTCCTGTTCCCAGCTGGTCTGCAAAATACTGTGCTACATTTTAGCATTCAGCAAGAGCAGCATTTAATAAGAATGGCCTAGGCTCTTACCCTACCCAACAAAGGGGTGAGCACTTCCAGACGGAGCACAGTAAATGCAAAAGTCCTGAGGTCCAGAGGCAGACCCACCTGCTTGCACTGGCTCACAGGAGACAACTTGCTTTCAGTGCTGTCACGGTGGTGGCTTGAGGTCAGCCATGGAGGAAATATTTACACCATGAAAATCAGCAAATGCTAAAATCAGGGTTTTGGTTTTTTTTATATTATATATATTTTTTAGAGAGCCACTTTACCAGGAGATGGGATTAGAGAGCTCACCAAGCCCAGATCACCCAGAGTGGGTGGCTAGAGGGTTTTGAGGCAAAACACCGAGGAGGGATGTAAAACAATTGGGTTTTTACAGGGTCTCTTTGGCCACCATGTGGGGAGCCAGGGGATAACTGGGAAGCAGTAGTCATCCAGGTAGGATTATTAGATACAGCAAATGTAAATACCGGTTGCTTACAATATTTGGGATATACATAACCAAAAAAAATGTTTATGTGAAATTCTAATTGAAATGGGCAGCCTGTATTCTATCTGGCAGCTCTATCTGTAGGAGCCATGTAAAAGAGACGAGGTCCACATTGCTTCTGGAATGCTTATTGCTTGATTATGCCTCCCCCACCCCAGTCCTTGGGATGGAGCCTCCTTCATGGCCATTCCCTCCTCCTGGGATATTCAGAGAAAGATCTGTACCAACCCCACCCCACAGCCCACACCCAACTGACCCTGGACCTGCACATACCCCTCAGCCATTTCCTCTGTGCTTCCCAGTGTATCTGAGCCAAACCAGTTAGGGCAAAGCAAGCAAATTTATTAAGAATACACTTGGGGGAAGAACCAAGATGGTAGCAGTATGTAAACGAGGTACTCACTTCCTCCCACAACCACATTAAAATTACAATTAAAACACAACAACCATTATTCAGAACCACCTGAAATCTGGCTGGATGGAAGTCTTACAACTAGAGAAGTAAAGAAAGCATATTGAGACTGGTAGGAGGTGTGTAGGCATGGAACAGGCTGTTCCAATACCCACATGGGATGTTTTTTTAACTGGGAGGGATATCTAGGCTGAGGAGGTCTCCCATGAAGAGCAAAGGACCCTAGCCCCACAACAGACCCCCCAGCCAAGGGTTCCAGAGCTGGGAAGAGAAGTCCTCATAACTTCAGGCTATAAAAACCATCAGGGACAGTGGTTTAGTGAACGGATTTTTTTTATGGAGTCCCAGGCAGTTCCTCTTAAAAGGCCAGCACACGGACTTACATGAACTTGCTACCTCTGAGTTCTAGTACTGGGACAGTGGCTTAGGGGGATCCAGGAACCTATGGGGAGGAACTGGATTGTCTGGCATCAAAGCAAGAACGTGGGGGCAGCATCCTTCCAGACAGGTCCTTGTTCCTATACAGAAAGCTCCTCTGTCACAGAGCTGACTGACAGGGGCCATATCTGAATCTCCATCAATCTAACTCACACTGTTCACCCCACCTGGTGATTCCCTGAGACCCCACCCCACTAAATTTGCAGCCCCACCCAAGCTATTCTCAGTGGCTTTCCCATATGAATGGCCTGTCCTTGCTCAGGCTTCACACTTTGCTAAAATCTCTCAAACAAGCAGCAATTGGTGTCAGTGTACCTCATTCCATTCAAAAAGAGGCTCCAGGCTTGGTACTAGCAGCAGCCTGCCTTGGTTCACAGCTTGGCCTCTCCTGGGTACTTCCAAGCCCAACACAAGTAGCAAGGCCTGGCTCTGCCATGTTCTGTGTCCTATGGGCAGGTCTGCCCTACCATTGAGCCACACTGCCTGGTTGCTGGGTCCCAGGCAGCAGTCTCTTGGAGCCCCTCCTGGCTCTGGGAGTTTATAAGCTCTGTCTCTCCCTGGTCTCTCCAGGTTAAATAGTGCCCACCATAGTCTCTGTTAGGGTCACCAAAGGAGGAATGCACTAGGCCAAAGTGGTGATTGTAAATTTATTAGAGGCCCGGTGCATAGAAATTCATGCACTGGAGGAGGGTCCCTCAGCCCGGCCTGCTCCTTGTCACAGTCCAGGAGCCCTCAGGGGCGGGAGGTGACCAGGTGATCAGGGAAAGGCGACGCCCCATCACACTTCTGCTGCTGCCACTGCCAGCAGCGCAAGCCTTGGCAGGCCCTGGTTACCTGAGCCTTGGGCAGCCCTGGTGTCTGGAAAGCCACCATCCGAGGCTTGCCTGGGCCTTGGGCCAGCCCTAAGCAGCTGGGGGACGTTTCTCTAAGGGGACTGGGGAACTCCAGAGGCAGGAGTGGGGATCGGGCCCAGCCTTGCCGCCAGCCTGCTGCCCTCGAGGGGCTGGGCTGAGGGGAATGGGAGCCATCATCTTTTTAAAAATATATATATATTTCATTGATTTTTTACAGAGAGGAAGGGAGAGGGATAGAGAGCTAGAAACGTCGATGAGAGAAAAACATAGACCAGCCGCCTCTTGCACACCCCCTACTGGGGATGTGCCTGCAACCAACGTACATGCCCTTGAACGGAATCGAACCTGGGACCTTGTAGCCCGCAGACTGACACTCTACCGCTGAGTCAAACCAGTTCCAGCATTGCCACCATCTTTGAGGTGGGGCAGACAATTAGCATATTTCCTTTTTATTAGATAGGATTAGGTTATCTGCATACCAGATGGGTTGAGCCCCAAAATGGCACCAGCCCCCAAAAGACAGGGTCAGAGGTTTTTCTTTTTTAAATATATTGATTTTAGAGAGGAAGGGAGAGGCAGAGAGAGAGAGAAACATCAATGATGAGAATCATTGATCGGCTTCCTCCTGAACACCCACAACTGG